TCTGCTACTGCTTGGTCTTCTCTTAGTCCACTAAAAAGTAAAAATTAGTTTCTGATTAAGAAAGATCATGTTTAATCACAATAAGTATTTTATAAGCAAAAAGTCTTCCCAGAATGCTCAGTCATGATTATTTGGGCCTCCAGTGACCATTTATGAATGCAATTGCTGGTAATGAACTATTATTTAGAGTTGGTTGAATAATATTAAGTGGATAATTTATTTTAGAAATATTACAAATTTTTAAAAACAAATTACTCATCTAGTTTAAAAATATTATTCACAAAGATAGGGGCAGAGTGAGTTATTAAATATATTCATCAACTAAGTTGTTCAAGTTTTGCAATATATTTGAATAAATTATTCAGCTTATTCATTATTCATTCAGTTCTAATTATTATTTTAAACACTTACATAGCAATATTAGTGCACTGACACAGTAGTCAGTGACAAAAATGACAGCTCTTCTGATAGGTCCACTAAGGTGGACAAAGGCACGGTAAAAATGGTTTCACCTATACTGAAAGGAGAGATTACTATTTGATGATCTTTACATCAGAGATTGCAGATTTGTGCCTATGCCTCGAGTTCCAGGAATGAGAGAACTGCAGAGGGCCTTTTTCCCTGTATGACTGGGGTAAATCTGTTGTTGGCAGTAGTGTGAAGTACCAAGTCCTGCATCTGGGTCACAGTGACCCCATGCAGTGACACAGGCTGAGCTCCACAGAAGCCTGGCTGGAAAGATGCCTGGAGGAAAAGGACCATGGGGTGCTTGTTGACAGCAGCTGAACATGAGCAAGCCTGTGCCCAGGTGGCCAAGAAGGCCAATGGCATCCTGGCCTGTGTCAAAAATAATGTGATCAGCTGGACCAGGGCAGGGATTTTCCCCCTGAAGTTGGCACTGGTACCTTAAATCCCATGTTCAGTTCTGGGGCCCTTCACAATGAGTAGGACACTGAAGTGCTGGAGCATAACCAGAGAAGGACAGTGGAACTGATGAAAGATCTCATGAGGAGTAGCTGAGGGAGCTGGGGTGGTTTAGCCTGGAGAAAAGAAGGCTCAAGGAGGACCTTGTCAGTCTCTGTGACTGCCTGAAAGGACGCTGTAGCCAGATGGGGGTCAGTCTCTTCTCCCAGGTAATGAGTGATAGGACAGTACCAGGGGAAGTTTAGATTGTTTGCTAGGAAATTTCTTCACCAAAAGGGTTGTCAATCATTTGAACAGGCTTCCTAGGAAATGGTTCCTCTGCTGTTCAGAGTTGTTCAGAGGTAGCACTCAGGGACATGGCTTAGTGGCAGACTTGGTGCTGTTATTGTTGGACTCAATAATCTTAAAGGTCTTCATCAACAAAAAAGTTTCTGTAGTTCTATGGCTGTACTGAAATTATAGCTGGTATAGTAATGTCAACCTAAATTGACAGCAGCCTAAACCAGCAGTTTGGAGGACTCTGAGCATAGGTTTGGATTTCAATTCCAAGCCTATGGCTTCAGGAGCAGATGATGAGAACTTTATTAATCCTAACTTCCTGGGAGCATTACTGCAAGTTAGTTCCCTTTGGCTTCAGGGGATGTGCTGCAAGAAGCCACGAACTCTATAGTTGGGATCATCACAGAGCTGTGAGCTGACCCCCAACATGCCTGCCCCTTGAATTGCTGTCTTGCCATCTCACTCCACAGAAAGTTGTGGGAAAAGAAAGAGTGGCTGGTAACACAGCGTACCTGCTTGTGAAAAAAAACAAGCTTTTTTTTTTTTTTTAATAGAAAGCTTTTCTTTCAAAGAACTGATAAGATATGTTTTGCTTTGGGCCTCTTAAGTTCTATTCTCTTACTTTAATGGGGAGGCAAACCAGTTTGACAGAGAAGAAGAAACCAGAAATTGCCATGCTGTACCCCCTAAATGGGACTTTAAAACAGGGAGACTAAAATTCTTCCCAAGGCTCATTTTTGAAACCAACACCATATTAGAACCTTCCTGTCTAATAATAATACTGTCTAACCCTTCAGGTTCTCCTGACTTTTCAGAAAAGAGGGTCTTTTTTCTTGAAAGAAAAACATAGCTCAAAACCTAACATATTTGAATGAAATAGACAAAAATTAATGTTGCAAATATACATTCTTATTTTTCAAGGAAATGGTTCTCTTTGTTGTTGTTTTCTGATATTGTCTATCAGCATTTCTTTTCTCTAATTTCTGTCACAGAGTAGCACATGTACATGTATGTAAATACATGTCCTCTTTTCAGTGTTTCCCATCTTTCCATTTTGCTACTCATTGAAAATTAGAACTCATGAAATAGCATCTGGTATTTCTATAGTAAGGAATCATGGCACAAAGCAGGCTTAAAAAACAACTTTTCTGTGGCATGCTGCATTTCTGAAAAGCCAAAATTGTCATTTTTGGAAAACGCCTTGTGAAATAGTTTGCACTCAGTAAAGCTGTCTCCATGGTCCAGCACATCCCTCCTGTGTCCCAGTTGGAGTAGGTCTTATTATAACCCTCACTACAGAAGGCAATTTACTTCAGACGAGACAGGAAACTTAGGAATGCATCAGATATATATATATATATATAATTATTTTCTGGAAGCTTCATGCTAAACATGAGCTCAATCTTTGAACACTGAACTGTAACTCTTCAGGGCTGCTTTCTTGTTGATAAAACTTGAAAAAGCAATTTATTCTCTTGGGCCTGTTTAAGAATTTATAGTGCAGAAAGGGGAGGGGTAGAAAGTCAAGCCACATCCTTTAATCTCTCTCCAATTCCTGCCTGTTTTGTAAGAAATGGGGCAGGGAAGGGAATACACACACACACCCGCACATACCCACACTCACACCCACACTTGTGTGCACACAAAATCCAAGGGAATGACAGTGTTTCCCTTTCCCCTGCATTGTATTCCTGCCCCTTATTTTAGAGGAACACTTCCTGCCATCACTTTGGTCTCCAAGAGGAAAAGCAGGGCAAACATCAGAGCCTTTCCTGAACTGTCTGGAAAGCTGTTAACTCCAGGCTCACAGAGAACAGACACCCCTGCCCTGCTTCCCTCCTGGCAGACTCCATACTGAAGAGTGCAAGGAACTGTTTTGTGAATTGAAAGCATTGCCAATATGTTTTGTGAAAAGAGGCTCTGTCTGGAGCCAGTGTGAATGCCTGGTCCTTTGGGATGAGAAATGGCAGTTAACTAATGGCAGACGAGTTATGGCAATTAAAAATAAAGAATGATCTAGAGGAAGACATGGAGTGAGGAGAATCTTGATGTTTGATGAGTCCTCCAGCTCTCCTTTTCCACCTTCCTGAGCATGGCAGGCTCTGTTTGAATCACAGGACCAGTGATGCAATTTGTTTGAGATCCTTCTGCTGCAGCATCTTCACGCATCCTGTCACCTGGTTGCTGCTTTGGTGGGCTGAGCCCCACTCATGGCCTTCCTTCCTGCTCTTTGTAAAACCAAGCTTGGAAAGAGCCCGTGACCTTCATATCCTCTCCAGCCTCAAACTAATTATCATGGAGGTTCTGAAGGCTCTCCTCCCACTGATATTTTATCATATCTGATATGCTGCCCAGTCACTTCTCTTTCCTTCTACTGTTGTTATCTATGCCTCGTCTAGGATAATGCTCACTCTAGTATGGGATCTGTGTGACTTAAAATTGCTTCTTTGTGCATCATGTCAGCAATTCACAAGTCATAGTGTGTTTATTTTGGCCTGATGAACCTCAAATACATTTGGGTTTTAAAGGACTCATTTTATTAATTTCGAAAACTGACTGAAAACATCACTATAAAACTCAACAACATTCTAAACTAGATGAGCCAAAGCAAAAATGTCCAGCAGAAAGGATGTGAGATTACTGCTGAGTGTTCACATTAAAATCATGCATACTAAGAACTGCAATGCTTAGGCTGAAACAATGTTTTCCAGCAGCAGCCAGACCTGGGGAGAGCAGAGGGATATGCCAGCTCATGATTGACTTCTATGGAGATGTAAAAGGCACAGAGATGACAGCTGCTCGTATCTAAACACAAATTAGCTGCAACAGTGCTGAAAATAGTACTATGGAGAAAAGTGCTCCTAACTTTCCCTCTCATCTCCACCTCTCCCTCAACTCCTTCCCTCTCAGTTGAAGACATTTCCTTGCTTATGCCCAGATGCTGTGCAGGATGCAAAGAATGTGCCACATTCCATGCCCCACTCCATTTCCCAAACATGCATGTTTGTGCACATCCTGTCTAAATGTTACTTTTCCCTACATCATCTTGTGCCACAGTGTTTGTGAATTTTGCTGTGCTTTGGCTTATTTGTTGGACCAGACTTGCTAACTCAAGGCATACTCTTGAATCAGGAGAAAGGTAGATCCAGAGACCACACTGACTGTCAGAGATTACATTACTAGGAAGAGCATAACCTCATGTTGCCCAGAATTTTGTGTGCTTTCTTGAAAGTCTCATTTCTCCAGAAAAACTTCATTACAAGTTCCAGCATTTTTTTATAACTACTAGGAGACAATATATATTTGAAACACTCCATTGTTTAGTGCTTACACTAAGATATCTGAAGGTTCTATTGCATATCTAGGATGTCTAGTTCACATTCTTTTAAAGCTTATGGCTCAAATGGGTAAATGGTTCAGCTGAAAAAAGAATTGATGAACTTCAGGTTTTTGTGAAAATTAGTCCTTATTCTAGAGCTGTGCTTGTTATTCATTAACAGTAGATAAACAACACCAACATTTGAGTCTAAATTGTTCATGATCTTTACTCAGAAGGTGGTGAGGCACCGAAAGAAGTTTCCCAGAGAAGTTGTAGATTCCCCATCCCTGGAAGTGTTCAAGGCCAGGTTGGATGAAGGTCTGAACAATCTGGCCCAGTGGAAGGTGTCCCTGCTCTTGGCAGCAGGAGTTGGAACAAGGTGATCTTTAATGTCCTTTCCAACGCAAACCATTCTGTGGTGCTGTGGTCACAAAGCAGTGTATGGAATGTTGGCTGACCATGGTCAGCTACACTGAGCAAGAAACACACTGAGGGCAGCGTGATGTTCCAGTCTCCCTGTCAAACCATTTGGAGCAGCACCCAGTTCCATTTTACATGTTTAAGGCTGGGACTCAAATTTTGTAATATTTGCAGATTTGTGGCTGTGACAGCTGATTTCAGGGTGTTCACCAAATATGCTGAACTCCTTGGAACAGTCTCTCACTGTTTTTCTAAGAACTTAGCAAAAAGATAGAGAACTCAAGGTTCTATACTGACTGTTTGCGATAGAGGAAAATACTGTATAAAGCTGAGTGGTCTTCTGACTCCTCCTGCACCTGCTCAGTGAGTGGGAAAAAGGCTTTTAAATTGCCTGAAAGAGAAATCATTTCATCCTTTATATTTTAAGGTAAGTAATCTTTAGGGAGAGAATTTTTACCCTCTGTTTATAAAATTTTTTTAAAAATGAGAGGTAGGAACAAGAGGGTAAGTGAAGAAAGAGGGATTTACATCCTGGTTTATCTAAAGCCTTCATTTCTTGTAGAGGAGTTCAGGTCCCTGTCCATCTTGGTTCACCAGAATTTTGTAGCTGTGTTACATCCTAAATGAATGATGAACTAATGGGGTTATTGAGCTGATCTGCATTTGGATGGTCTCACCCACCTATGAATATAGCTTTAGTCCTGGATGCAAATCTTTCAAAAAGGAAGTTTTGTCAAAATCAATACATTTCCTCAGAAGTCCCACAAGTCAGTATTTGCAAGGAAGAAACAACAAAATATTTTGCTGTGTGACTGTGGGAGTCAAAAGGTAATCATCCATGCTAACATTCAGAAAACATTTGGTATTTTTGTGAATAAAGTAGTAAAAATAATAAGAACTTGAACAGGAGGGTCGTATGAATAAGAGCAGAGAGAATTTGCTGTTTTTTATCTTTGCAAGCTCTCCTGGTGTAACTCAGTCTGCCCAGATCACCTTTCTAAAGAGTGCTTTGTCTGTCAAGCACATCAGAGGAGAAATTAGATAATTTTACATGGCTGTGCTATTGAACTGAGCCTCACATTGATGTTAGAAAGCAAAAAAACAACAACAACAACAAAAAAAAAAACCGAAGGAAAGAAATGAGGATGTAGACTTGTCAAAAGCATCTGCATATGAAATAAAAAGGAATGCAAGGCAGTGCTGTGTACTGTACAGAGACTCGGGTAGTGTGGCATGCTGTGGGTTAAAACTCATAAATAGGAAAGGGCACATTGCAGAAGCCATTACAGGCAGAAATTAAATTCAGTTCTTTTCTGCATGTCTGCAGGACATAAGTCAGGGCTGTACATGGGGTACACATGCTGAACTCTGAGATTATGCACAGCAGTCCAGCAGCATATTTGCTCTGCTGCCTGCTGGCCTGGATCACAACCTGATGATGTGAGTTTCCAGCCCTAACATCATCCATGCATTTTCCATGGCTTATATGCCCAATATTTCTTTCCAATAATAACTTTCCTTTAGGCACGGTTATTAAGACCTCCGTCACTGTGAAATAGCTTGTGTTCAGTGAGGCAGACTTTTAATGGGATGTGATGCTGTATAGCAGAGTTTCATCTACTACATTCAAGAAGGTCAATGATGGACTGTTTACTCCCCTAATCCATCTAATTATGGCAGCTTACAGAAAATTGGAGAAAAGGAATTTGTGCCATAGGTGATGCTGAGAGAGATCTGAGAGCACATTGATTTAAAATGCCATAAACTATTGTCTAAAGTATATACAGAGTAGCTTGTTGATCTCACTGTAAGAAATAGCACTGATAATTCAATCCCCCCGGGTGATGGCCTGTTACCAGATACCATAAAAATTTCTAGTTTCTTTTGTCTTCCTTTGAAGGGTGGGAAGCTGAAAAGAAAAGCTGCAGAGCTGTCCTTATAAAGCTACATCCAAGTATGGAAGGGAGAAGATGTGGAAGGGGAGTTTCTGCAGTAACAGTAGAGTCACAGAGCTGGGGCACGTCTGGAGAGCCACACAGAGTAGAAACCTCTTGTCTGCAGCATTACAGTGCCCATAGAGGTGAATGTGGCTTTTGATGACCCACCAACACCTCCTGGTCACACTGCATGTCACAGAGCAAAGGGAGGAGGGCTGATGCTTCTTTCCTCACTGGTAGCTACTGTGAGAAAAGAGAATGAGCAGTTCTGGGAGCTCTGGTGCAGGTCGAGCATCATATCTGTAAGGATATTTTCTTGGTCACTGACTTTGGAGTTTAAGGACGTAGAAAGTCTGCCTGAAACTTTGGCCAGGTGTCCAATGGAGACTCATCTCCATGTGCATTGCCTGGGTTTTCATTCACAGAAGGATGCGTGCCTCAGACTTCAATAGAGATGCACTTGTGTATGAACAAACTATTTCACCATTGATGTCACCTCTGTCAGACTGAGTTAAAATTCAGCATTCTGTTTGTTGGGAAGTGGAAGAGAAGATGATACTCACAAACACAAGAATGTAAACTTCTGATAGGAAACCAGACCAAAATACAGCCTCTTCTAGTTCACTGCATAAACAGCTGAAAAAAAATAAATGTACCTATTGCATCACTTTTCTAGAATGTTGCCTCTTCTGCAGCCTTATTGCTTTTTACTACTGACATTGTCAAATCTTCTAATTTGTGGGTTTATTTTCTTACTGTTGTTGCTTTTGCATATCTCAATGTTTTAAAAAGAGTCCTTTCTTCTCCCCACACCCTCCCACTGCCCCCTCTTGCCATTATTAAGTGAGATCAGGTGCTTTTATGACTAATTGCATCTAATTATCTATAAAATAATTAGCATTTCTAATATCAGCTGCCTCTTGGTTTTCATTGGGGTGCAGGAGAGCAACAAGGTAGAGTTTGACAATTAAAGCTTCATTATTATGTTCTCCCCTTTACATTCTGTTTAATAAATCCTTCACAGCAGAAATGAATAGACTAGAGCTCATTTGAGATCAACATCATGAAGAGCTCAAGATTATTTTTTCATCAAGGTGAAGTAGGGGAAAAAAAATCTAATTTGAAGAATTAGGAAGTAGTTATATAGAAAGGATTCTTCTTGCAACCTGCTCACCAGATGGCCTGCCAGACACAGATACCAGGCTGAGAGAATCGTTATATCTTCTTGTAAATCAGAACTCAAAAATATGGAGTCTGTTCCGTGTGTGTGTGTGTAAGGGATGTCATTATGGTGACCGGGGACTGAAATAAGGGCTTCCAGAAATACAAGCAGGAAGTGTTCCCACATGTGTTGCCATGATATGTCGCTCTCAAATCCTGAAGACTGCTGCTAACTCTGTAGCAAGTGAAAGGTGAAACTATTGTCGTTCATATTCTAAGGCTGCAACATGTCATTGTACAGTTTGCATGGTGATTACAGTGGTTTCCTTGTGCTTTTGAACAGGGATGAAGTGCATGAGAATTTTGCTTAACCTGTGTAGATGAGTGAAGCTGTAGCTTTTGAGTTTACACCTTTAGTTTATGTCTGAACTGCACTCACAGAATGTGATGGTCTTTCTTCTCCCTGTTGGTAAAATGTGCCTAAATGCTCTGCAAAGTCACAGTTCATCCCTCACTCATCCTGCAGACAGTGAACCCTGCCATCCCTTCTTGATGGCACTGTATCATGCTACACCCCTTGGACCTGAAGGCTTTGTCCCTTCAGCCATGAACTGTGAAATTGCCAATGGCATGAGGAAATAGGGTCAGCAAGGAAACAAAAATACTTAATGAAGTTCAGCTTTACAAAGGGATTTAAATCCATACTGGTATTGGTAGGCTATGTGATTATGACCTTGGTAATCCCAGTTTCCACATAAATCTCTGTGCCTGGTCTTCAGAAAAGGCAGGCCATACTGAAGAGAAGTTTAGGAGCCTAAAATGGAAGTGATGAGCAGGAATTCATCTAGGGGCAGCCTCTTGGAGAAGGCATCAGCCAAAGGTGTTGCATGAAATTCACTCCGTCTGCAAGTGTTTTAGTGAGTTTTGATCTAACTTTCCTCCTAGGATGGTAAACACAGGGAGCAAAAAAATGAACACTCAAGAAAAAGAGCATTTTATTTCCCTGCTACCTATATTTAAAACAACATGAGATGAAGCAAAGCTGATAGCTCACTGGGAGGTTAACAGGAAGGCAAAAGAAGAGTAAATGTGTTGATGGAGAGCCCATTGTCCCCTACAAATCCCAGGTGCTCACTGTATACTTTCCTTCTAATTCCTGAGCAGTAGAAGTAAATACAGTAAAAATTAGCAGCTGGGACTTTTTTGCAAGGCAACAACACCAAGCAGAATTCCTCCCTCCATATTTTATAATTTGTCTGAAGGCTACAGACGTCTGTTCAGATGGCCAAGGGAAAAAAAATGCATGAGGGATTTGGGCTAAATTCAGCACCACTTAGGAAAGAGGCACCTGGCCTGCCATTTGTTATGTTCTCTCCTCTCTGCTTTATGATTTATATTTTATAAATCCTTTCCATTGTGGCTCCCCCCACTTTCCTTCTGTTCCAGTTTGATCAGATTGTAAAGGTTCAAAGTATACTTCTGTTACTTTAATTAAAGTAATTTCCCTCTGCCCTGCCTCTTAGAGCAGATGTATTGGAAATCCCCAGGCACCTCCCCCCTGAGCAAAATTGGACAATAAAGTGTAAAACTGCATTAAGACAAATTCCCTGTGCTAACTGCTTTTCTCTTTGCAGCAAGGATTTGCAAGAGTAAAGGCATTTCTCCCTGCTAGCAGGTCTGGTTTATCCTCTGCAGAGAGTTCATGGTGGCTACCTGAATTCCTTCCTGCAACAGCTTGTCACTTTCCATAGAGACTCATGATAACAGAAGCTTCCAGATATATCTGGCATGATTTGGCACTTCTACTGCCTCTCCCAGCAATATCCTGGTGACTCCATGCCCCTGGCTGGTTTCTGAATTTAACATTTCATTTCCAATGGAAGATTGTGCCTGGCACATCGAGATTATTTAGGCACCCTTATCCCTCAACTAGGTTTAAGGCTGCTAGCAGGAGAATATAGCCTGAGGTAAAACCAGACTTGCAGTCTGGTTTGCATATTAAGTCATGATATAATGAAATAGGGTCAGGAAAATACATTTCTATGATTACGCTTAACAGAAAAGTGCCAGCTCTTGCATTTTAGCCAGCTCATGAGGTAGCTAATTAGTCTATTTGAACTTGTCCAGGAGAGCATTTAAAGCTAGGTCTTTTCTGCTATTTGACTTAGCTGCCCCCTTAGTTCCCCCTCCTCCTCAAGCTTGTTTAATGGAGATTTATTCTCCATATGTTGTTTATAATCAGGCAAGATGCTAATTTCCCTCTCTTGCAGCTTCTTTAAAACACCGTAGCTATAATGCTGTATGTGCCTTTCCCATCTGCTCTGAAAGGATAGCCCATACAGCAGAAAAAAAATCCATATCTCTGCAGAGAGTCATTTCATCCTGGCCAGAACATGTCAAAAGGCACAAGCACAAGCACTGACCAGCCCAAGCAGCAAAACAGCCATTTGGCCAGCAAAGGTTACTTTAGCCAGTCAAAGCTTCATTGGCAGGCTGTGGAGGACAGCAAAGACTGTGTGGCACAGCCAATAGTGCTCTGTTGGTTTTGAAGGAGTAAAGCCTAGTTACATACAGAGTCTTAAAGGGAAGTAGAAGATTGAGGCTTTTGCTCTTGCATGAAGATATATCATGTACACCATGCCTATACTGGCCTGTCCTGGAGCTCTGGCTGTTCTCTCCAGGTGGTATTCCCAACCTGTGCAGAGTCACATACATACAACTCTGTATGCCAGCAAAACCTCAAAAATACCCAATCCTAGCAGCAGTCTCCAGCAAGCGCCATGCTTTATGTGTGAGTAGAGTTGCTCTGGTTCACCCAGCCAGTACCAGTGGTTTGGGTACAATTTAGCATTCCTGGATCCCAAGACAAACAGCTCCTTCGCCCTCAATCTCATCAGAAATGCAGAGCTGTGTGACTCCTTGTCCTCTGCAGAAGCCTACACAGGTTTACAGTAAAAAGGAGAAGGACAAGATCACTAATAAAGACCTTTCTCCCTGCTCTGCACATTCTCTTCTAGAGACAGTTTTCCTCTCTAATTTTACATGGCACACTGGGACTTACCATCTGTTTCACAAAGCCCACAGATGAGCAAAAAACATTCTGTGTCTTATAGGAGAAGAAGAAATCTTTGAGTGCCACACAGGCTTCTGACAGAGCAAGGTTTTGGAGAACATTTCAATTTAACATTGTAAACAGTTCTGTCCCCACCTAAGACAAATTTTGCACTGTTAATTCCCAATCCCAGCTCTTGCTCCCCAAAGGATGGCAGAAGTCGGTCATTCTTATGAAAACTCTCATTTCTCTCTCCTTCCTGTTTTTTTGTTTTGTTTTGTGTTTTTGTGGGTTTATTTGTTTTGTTTTGTTTTTTTTATGGTAGAAATATTCATTACACATCAGTTCTTCCCACCTCTGTGCTGAGTTCAGTCATTGACACCTAGATTCCCAGCCTTCCCATGACACCTTTAGTCAATGTACTATTCCTCAAAGTTCCTAAAAATTTTGAGATTGTGTCTAAATCTATTTAAAGTCTTTCCATTCTTCTATTAAAGGGAGATCAGACTGGACTGATTCATATTCCCTAAGTCAAAGTCAACATATCCAGCATCCAGTCTGCTTATTTGGAAATTTAAGAAAATTCAAACATATGTATCTAGGATTGTAAGCAAGCATCCAGGACAAAACATTCATTTTTAATTAAAACTTATAAATAATTAATATTATTCAAATGTTGAAATCCAATAGCCTGAAGATTACTGCCATGCTAATGCATAAATACTGGGAGAAATCCAGTCATGCATGCTGCAAGAGCATGAACTCAATGGGAAAAGGTAGTGAACAGGCAAGGGTAATGACCATCTAATGGATAGATATTAGATGGGATTCCAAAAACAAGCACTAAATGTGCCCTCTAAAATAATGCAAAGACAGAAAATCAGAAGGAATGCACTTAGGCATGAATTTTTCATTAGAAATCCCTTAGGCTAAAACTGATTAAAATTCCACTACTGCCAAAAATTCCATGACTATCTCATGCCTCACCAGCAACTCTGGGTCAGTAACAGGCCACAAAACCTCATTGCTGGACATGGGTAGGTCCCTGTGTACTGCTTTTAAATATACATGGAAATATACATGTGTACAATTTTTAAATATGCATGGGAAATATCTGCAAGTAAATTTTAATTTTCTGTTCAAGCCAATTGTCATTCCAGAATAAGGGAAACACTTTCAAAAAATGTGTGTTTAACAGAGAAGGAGATACAGATGGGAGCATGTTCTGGAGCAAGAACCAGTGACAGATTTACAGGATAAATGATGAGGTTTTGAAAAGCAGGTTGCACAGGATACAAAGGACACCTTGTGCCTGTGAGGGTTGAGAGCACTGATGCATACGCTGACAAGGTTTGCACAGCTTGTTTGTGTGTACATTTGCCTTTGCACACTATACAGGAGGTAAGAAGAGCTTGAGCAGGCATGAAGACATGGAGCTTAAATGTGACACAAAATGAGAGTAAGT